ACTGCATGAGAGTGTGGCCTTGAATGCATTGTGGCATCAAATGTTAACAGGTTGATCTATGAAGTTGATACCAATGTACTGATTTTATCTTTATACTATTACATTTTTAAATTTATGTTGTAATATTTTCCTCCTTTTTTTCTTCCTACATCTTTCCATGTCACTGTACTATTGTAGATTTCTCTCCATGTCTATTCCTTTTTTCCCCCACCTCCTCTTTTGTGCTGCAAACCTTTCAGCTTTTTATCATCTTCCTTATGTAAAATACCTTGGTCTCACTTCTAATTCTCTGAAAAGAGAAGTCTGGTTTTCCATCTGTACCTAGGCAAACTAATTCTTTATACCTTTACTCTTGTAAGATAAATATCCAGACTCACCAGATGAATAACCACACACTGGGGAAAAGGTTGAGAAATGGTATATTTAAGTTTCGCATGCTGTTAACTCAGTTTTGTGAAGATTTTTGAAGTTTTTTCATCCTTTTGTTCAACATGTATTTGACTTCTTTCATAGAGACACATTCTTAAATTATTAGATCCCATTAGATGACTGCTTTATGTTATACAACATAGTTTGAAAAGATTACTAACTAAATATTTTTTAAGAGTCAGTTAAGTAATTATAAACTTTTACATCACACACCAGTCAGTATGAAATACTTGAATTTTTTCTGTGCTCTAAGATGTAACTTAAAAATAACATTAACTCTTGACTAAATATAAATAGTTAATGATTACCTAGGATTCTGTGTTATCCTTTCCTCACTATTTACTGTTGCTCTGTGCTCACATGGTGATTTTTCACTTCTGATCTTACTTATGATGACATTTATGTTTCCCCAGAAGATCATATGGATTTTAAGAAATTTTAGTAGCTCTTTAATGGCTTCCGATCTTACTTATGATGACATTTGTTTCCCCAGAAGATCATATGGATTTTAAGAAATTTTAGTAGCTCTTTAATGAAAGCTTCAAAAACATTGTTTCTCTTTTACTGCATAGCTCTGAGGAAGATTTTTTTTTTTTGGCAAAACTCTTTGCTGTCCTTTCCAGTCAATTTTCTGAGTCACATGGAAAATGCTGACAGCATGGCAGCAGCTTTGTGTTTTTCAATAAAATGATAACCACTTTTGTTCTGTCCAGGAAACAGCAAGAACACTACTCTGAATCTTGCTTTTAAGAGTCCTAGGAGCTCTAACCTTCCTTCTGTTTCGTATAATGTAGATAACAAATGTGAAAATGGAATTACAAGCTCACAGAATGCTTTGTACGCTTTTGATAGAGAACTAAGTATTTTTCATCTCAGCCAAGTTTTATTTTGTAAACTTGAGATGAAGTTACTGTTGGAATTTGCAAAACCACTGCAAATTCAATCATAGACTATAATGTGATGCAAAAAGATATTAATAGAGAATCAATAGAAATTGATAAAATACTAATAGAGAATCAATAGAACATAAAAATATTAATTGGCAATTAATAGAACATCAGTATTTTTAACCTGAACAACACAAATAGTCAGTCAGGATACTTAGAATACTTTGTCGCTTGTACAAAATTTTTTGCCTCCAGAGTTCTTGCTGTGTTTTATTAATGAATAGTTACAAATCTTTTTAAGAACTTAAAGCTATTAGACCAGAGAAAAGCATTTTATTATTGTTATTGTTCACTTGAAATGCTAATTAAAGGCATCAGAACAAAACAATTTGCTTCAGATTTCTGGTTAAATTTCTTTTGTGCATTAATCATTATAATAAAAATGCTTTACATAAAAATATATTGCTTTGCTGACAAGGTATATTCCATTCCCCAGGGCTGAAAATGGCACTGAAAGTTAAGCTTGGTTTGGGGTTTTTGAGGGTTACATAAAATAAGTCATGTGCAAATCAAAAAGTAAAACTTACTTAGACAAAGGAGTTTTCTGCCAAAACATTTCAAAGCAAGTATTTATCACCAAAATACTGATTCAAGTAATTTTGTAAGTCAAAAGAAAGGGATTTATCTTTTTCAAGCTAAATTTGACATTCTGCCTCTATACTGGAAGTTGATTAATACCTAATTTGGATACCTGCTTTGAGCTGACAGGACGGGATGTCTTTATTTTTCTTTATCGATTACAAAAAGAAACTTGCATTGACCAATGGCTGATTAGAGCTGGGGCTTTATCCCAGACCAAAATTCAGGTGTACGAAATGTCTGATGCTTCTAAATGTTCCGGAAAAGCAGTTTCACTATAAGCTTTATATGGGGTTTTAAATTGCAGACTAGGGGGTTATTGATGGTTTACTAAGGAAATACACAGCTTGTATGTAATTCTGATTTGTACTTTTGAAGGTCATTTGCATGTTTGTTATTGTTAGCTAACTTGATGTAAACAAAACATAATTCTGCAAATAAGCAAAGTATTATTTCTTTATTGTAAGACTGAGAGGTGTGTTGAGTTAGCCAAGATTAAAAACCATGAAATGCCTTCCCTGCACATTACACATCACTCAAGTGAATCTAGTTTGCAATATGTTTTTGAAGTGAAATTCAGTTCAGTAACGCTCTGGTCCCAAAATATTTAAGATCAAATTTCAATGGAGATAGAAAAGAAACCAGAAAAAATACTAGACAAAACCCTCTGATAAATTATGTTGTGCTGAAAAAGTGTCTTGAAATTTTTCTGGTTTCCTAACTTACTTCTATACTGTTTTGCCTATTTAGAAATCTTCCATGCTACCATGACTTTTTTTTTTTTCACATAAAGTAATGCTGAACTCCAATGTGAAATCTTTCTAGTTTTCTGTCAGACAGTACTGGCAAACTCACAGAATACCCTGGATCAAGTGTTTTTAGGACTATCTTGATTCTGCCTTTGCTTGAGTGAAAAACAAAAAGTATATTTTATTTACTCTTTTTTGTGGGTACTTTTCTATGGGTACTTAAGTATGTCTTAAGAAAGACAAGAAGGACAGAAATATTCTTCAGTACAGTTTTCTATTAGGTTTTTAAAAAATGTGGCTTCAGCTTCGAATATGTTCAGATGCCAGTATTTACAGTGACTACTGACATATCATGAACTACAAATTTTATGAAGTTACATGTTTTTCACTGAGAATATTACTTTGTTTGAAATTTAATCCATGTGTTGTCTATTATTCCATCCATGGTTGATGTAACACCAGCCAGTTCAAGCCAGTTTAGTGAAAGGTTGCTGTTTTTCAATGTCATCTTAGCACAAGTGTGTTCTATTTGATTTGAGCATGTATAACAAAAAAATAACAGAATATATTGACTGGAGTGTACAAGTCAAGTTCATGTTCTTAACTCCATGTTCAGCACAAGCTGGAGGTGGAAACAAGATAAAGTTAACAAGAAAAATATAGCTCCCAGTGGAGCCACAGCTGAGTGTTTTCTGTTCGTTTATGTAACTCAACTTATACCTCACATGAGACTGTGGCCTATATTGGTTTATCCTGAATATATTGTCAGCACCGTCACCTGTGTTTTATACTGTGACAGACAAAAGGTTTTCTAAGTACAGTCTGTGTCCTGAACCCAATCTGTGGGAACTGCATTATGAAAGTTCATTTTTAGAGGTTTATGTTAAAAATAAAAATTGAAATGCTTGCCTATTTAACAGCAAATTATATATCTTTTTTTTTTGAATAAATGTTTGCATGCATTTTATATTTTGTAAGCTTTAGCCTAAATTAATAAATGGTAGTCTCGTTTTAGGCAATCCATTTTGTCTTTCAGTCCAAAACATTGGATGAGTTTACACTTGCTCTTTCCACAGTTCATATTTGTCACAAATGTGAAAAAAGAAACAAAGTGACTTGATTTTCACCAAATTTCTGAAATAACAGTTTTCCAAAACTGTTATGTGGTACCTCCTTTATTTTCATTCTGTAAATGAAGTAAGGAATAAAAACATACATCTGTATGTATTTCATCCTTTCTGTCCCTGCTATATTCCTGATGATCTATTCAAATCTTACTGATACTGACAATCTATGCTGATTGTGCTGAAATAAATGTAGTTAAATGTAGCATACATGCAGACTTATGCCATGCAATAGAAAAATAGGTAATTAAATGAGTATAAAATCTAGACCACCTGTAGAGGACATTCAGAAATCTATAAAATTGATATATTTTACTCTGGATATATGGTATATCTGCTAATACATTCTTTTTATCACTACTTAAATGTACTAATTCTAAATGATCTGTAGTTGTAAGGCCAACAGACAGAGTAGGAAAAAAATCAAAAAAGTCTTTGTAAATGCTCATATCTGAGTCAGATAGTAGCTGACAGTTTTTACAGCACAAATTTTTAGACAAGCAATAAACGAAAAAAGATGGGCTATTTTTAATAATTGTAGGTTATGGATTATGATTTATAAACTGTTGCTCTGAGATCAACAGTTTGGTGGTTGTGGTTTTTGGGTTTTGTTTTTTTTTTTTGGTTGGTTGGTTTTTCTAATTTGGATCATTACTGTGCTTTGAAATGAATTCATGCAATGTGTGCACTTGTTAAGCTTTGGTTAACACCAATGAGTGGTCTTGGCATGCACAAGTTGTTTTGCTTACAGATGAAACTGAATTGGGAAATGCACTGCAGGAGTGCAGTGTGAGTACTTCAACATGTAGTGATCAACCTGCAGGTGAGACCAATTTAGGACTCGTCAAGGCCTTAACCTCTGAAATGTGTGTGTTGTGTCATAATTGTCCAGCTCCAAAGTTCTGGTTTTTATGTGTTGCAGTACTTGCTAGGATGGTGTGAATTGAACAAATGATTTTTTTGGGGATTTGTTTTTTGAGGCGGGATTTCTTCTTCCCTTCCAGGCTTTGTGTTTGTCCTGTGGGTCATAGGTTTCATGGGATTTTCAGTTCAGGAGCTCAGAACTTCATAAAAACAACAAAAATCAATGTTGAAAAAACTTCCTGAAGTTAGAATTTAGTTGTTTTTGCAGGAGACATTAAATCTAGCAAAACTTGATTTCTTTTTTCCAGGAAAGAACAGTAACAATTAGAAGACAGACTGTAGGAGGATTTGGATTAAGTATAAAGGTAAGATGATATTTTGGTCTATTTATTGCATATCACACAAATTGTATATTTTTATATAATCCATGTTACTGTTAATGAGTGCAAACTGTTCTAGACTAGAAACAAGACAGGAAACATATTCTTGTATGTTAGATGCTGTTACAGCAGGTGACCAGAACTATGCTGCAATATGGAAGGAAGGCACCCATCCCCTTAAAATTCAGGCTGACCAACTCTGTAATAAGGTTTGATGTAAGAGTTGAGAAGCGTTTTTAACTTTATAGACTGTACTTGTTCGGCTTCTCTCTAATTTAAATAGTTATTAATGAATGCTAAATTACAGTGGCAGGAACAAGGAACAGCCAATAAGTCCATCATCAATTCTGCTACAAAGAATATCACATTAATTCATTGCCATTCATTAGTGGGACAGAAAGTGTTATTGCGTGCTTGTATTGTTTATTTTTCTGTAGATCAGACCCAGACAGCAATTTGTCACGTTACTGTAGTTTTGCTTTTCTCAGTAAGATTTAAGAACATATACAAGTGTAGGTGATCCTTTTTAGGAGAGGAAGGAAGGGTTAATAATTTTTGTCATTATAACCTATGAGTTTGAAAACTTTACCTTAGCTTTGAGTCTGAGTGTAGACAACACAAGATTAATTTTATCTTCTAAACACAGCAGTTCTCAGTCTCAAGATAGCAATGGAAAAAATAAAGTGTACTTCACATGAATGCAAAGCAGCCTAAATTATGCATATAAAGTGAAAGTATAGATTTTCCTATGACATCTGCTAGAACTGACCTTATAAGTGACTCATAAGAAGGATTAATGTGCATTTGTGTTGTCATTGATAAGAATATGACTGAATAGAAGTATTAATTTTTAAAAATGTCTCAGTGCACTTGCTGTTATCTTGTTGACCCATGAAGATCTCTGTTCAAGGAAAACTTAATTGCTATTTTGTCACCAAAGTTCCTCATCAGTTTGGTCAACAATATTTAAGGGTTTTTTCCTCCAGTATCATTATAGGTTACAGTACACTGAATAATGATGAATTAATGAATGTAAAATGAGTGTAAAATCAAGTATATGGGTGAATGAGGGTTTATTTAAATGCTGCTAAGAAATAACTGGTTACAGTAAGGACTTCAGATAATTGTAGAGCAAATCTCAAAAGTTGGCAAACTTCATTTTACATATACTTTATAATGAGTTATCATTTAAAATTAACATCACTGACAATCTCAAGATCACATTATTTAAGTATTATGTACATTGCATAAAATAAAACATCATTTAGAAATATAAATTAAGTAGAGAATGTGCAATGGTCTTTCTTAAAATTAATATAGTTCTTAACTTTTTAGAGCAAAATATTTTCTATGATTATTTTATATCATAGATATTTTGATCAAAATTAACCAAAGTATTGGAAAAGTAAAGATACATAAAGTCAAGTGTGAATAGACAATTTTAATTTTTTTAAATAACTAGCAGTCGGGTGATGAAATCCCTTCAAAAATGTTATTAAAGAGCAAAGAGTCCTCTTTAAAAAAAGGAAACTCAGACTTGCTTGGGCAACATAGATTAGATAATGAAACTGAAAAGTTGAATACTGTGGTCTGAGATGTTCTGTTCATATGTTTCAGGTATTGTGATTTATTACTTTAAAATTAGTTATTTTTTAGAAAAAAATTAATGTTTGTGGGACCTTTTCTGCTAGATCCTCATATTAGTAGTTCCACATTCTCACAAAGATGGACAAGCATTTGGATAGCCAACACAATCTAAAAAAAATTAATAAATTGTATTATAATTTTAAACTAGTGTAAGAAACAACTTAGAATGGGAACTTACAGTAATTTTTCTTTTTTAGTTTAGGAGGCAAACTTTATGAAGACTCACTGAAATAAACTTTTTATTTATGGCATGAAATGACATGTCAGTTCCAAACATTCTGAAAGGTGCCAGTTTTCTATTTAAAATTCAGTCAGGGTTTGCTTCTTGCTGATGAATACAATTTTGCTGATGTGTTTTTGTTTTGTTTTTTAAGATTCCTGAACTGTAATAAAGAATCTTATATTTGTTGATAATTTTAAACAGAAATGTAATTATTTTGAATTTTTGCCAGAAAGTAGAGGTGTACAAGTCACCCTGAAGGAGTGAGAAGCACTGAGAGCTCTCCTCCTTTTGTCAGTAACTTCCCTTGAACTACAGTAGTTTCTGTTTCTTACTACTCCCAGACTAATTGAAGGTAGGGGTTATTTGAGGACTTACTTCCTGGCTGTGTTGTATGTCAGAGGACGTTGTTTATCTGAGGTGTTAATTACAGCAATACAGTGATTAATGACACTCACTTTAGAATACTTGCTTGGGCTTGGTTATGAATTTGCCTAGTTTCAGCTATCAGGTCTGGGGCATTATCACATTTCTTTTCTACTAACTTAAAACATCCATTTCCTGCCAGAAAACTCACATGAAAATGTCACCTTTCAACTTTCTCTTGAATAAATTTTTAAAATGTCTTATCCCACTGCAAGGATTTTGAACCCTTGGAATTCTTCTTTTTCTGAAGAGCAGAGAACAAATTCCTAATAATTCCAAAATTAAACTCTATTTTTGTTTTATCTGTCTATGAGGTACATAAACATAACTCTTCTCTTATAACCTGGGTATTCCAACTATATTTGTAAAAATCATAGATTCAGTTAACTGCTTAAGAAAAACTCTGACTCTAGAGTTGACTTTTGTCCAAGACGTAAACTTCAGCCCTTTAAGAAATAGATTAGAATCCACTCTTTTAGGATTTGAAAACCTGGTGTTTGCCTGTATGTTTTAGCTGAAATTAGTGGTGAAACTGATTGAACTTGAAGCAGACCTGCTCTGATTTACACTCTTCTGAAGGAATTATTTTCTCTCTTCTGAATACTCCTGTTAAATGTTTGTTTGTGAAGAAATAGCTATGGATATCGATACAGAATTTGGGAAGTGTAGTATTTCAGTAATTTATCACATCTCTGGCAAGTTTGAGATGCAGAGCCTTGACAAAAGAGGCTGCTCAGTGTATGATTTCAGAAAGAACATCCTGTTTTTCTCTAATTGGAGTGTAGTGTTCCTGAAGAAATAGGTAACAAAATTGATAGTTCATTAAACAAATTAAGGTTTTTGGTTATAGTCTGACTTCTGGCTACCAGGACTCAGTACATTGCCATTATTCTGCTTCTGTTTTGATTGTTCTTTTAAAATGATGAACAGCATCAGAGGTCTTCTGAGGTTCAGTTTTACTTTCCCAATTTAACTCAATCAAAAAATTCAGTGTCCAAAGACCTTAAAGCTATTTTTGTTGGTGGAAATGCATCTTTTTAGTATCAACTCCTAGTCCCCTACATTGTCTAACTCTGGTGATGGTAAAGTCCAACAATTGGTCTGATCTTTTGTAAATGTTTTTTTGTAGAAGATAAAAAATTAATTTCCTTGTTATACTTAGAACCAAAAACCCCCAGCCTTTTTCAATAAAAGTAACTACTTTCAATTGCCCTATTTTTCATATGTCAAAAACTTCTGAAAAAAAAACCCTCACACATAAAAACTGGGATAAGAAAAAAATTTTTAGGAGAGTGTCATGTGACACTTTGCAAGGAGGTGTGGGTGACCTCTCACCAGCAGTGTCCAACATTCAGGACAGTGACCTTCAAAGAGCTGCCAGTGATTAGAGCTTCCTCTGCCCCTTCTAGCAGGACCACCTCCACAGGGGGGAAGCTGCTGTCATTCCAGGTTTATCTCTGCTTAAGGAAAAATGACAAAGAAAATTTGCTTGACAAAGATCCTTGTTAGAGTCTGGCAGAGGTCTGAGCCATTAAGTCTTCAACACCACTATTTGATGTATTTCTGTCCATCCTCCGGTCTGAGGTTATAACTACTTGTCCATACTAGAGGAAGAGAAAATTTAAAGCAGTGGAAAAGTTGCCTCTGTTCCCAGAGTTTTCTTTAGAAGAGTATCCCCTGAGACTGTAAAACCATATTTTAGACATGCATACACTTTTTTTCTCTACAGGACAGAGAATCAAGTATGGAGAGTGCAGGATGCAAGGCATCCTGAAGTAGCATTCAACAAGATACTGGCAGAATATACAGTTTGCTACAAATTGCTAGCAGTGACTGGGTATAGATACTTGATCAACAATTTGCTGTTTCCAGTTTTGATTTTTTGTTTCTTAAAAGGGCAGGCACTATATCCTCTTACTAATTTAAAAAGAAGCCTTCCTACAGGTCAGAATCGGATGCAGTGAGAGGAGATATTATTTCCCTTGGGTAGGACACTGGTGAAAGCTTTCTCAGATCTGTAGTGTAAATGGATTTAGGTAGACTCAATACAGTGAGAGAGGAATAATCATGTTGTGTGCATTACAGGCTGGCTTAGTAATAAAAGTAATTTCCTACTTTAATGGAGCTTCAGATCTAAGGAGGCAGGGAGGCTGTTTTAAACCTCACACTTTGCTGGACTTTAAGTATCCTGGATAGTGCAATATGTATGTAACATTGGAAGCTTAGAAAGAAAGTGACATGGTTATTTTACTGTTTGTTTGAAACATTTTTAAGAAATTAAATTTGCATGTTACTAGAAAATTTGGAGGGTATAGGTTAAAACTTATGAATTTAGTGAGCTTGAACTCATTATCCGCAGAGTAGCCAGCTTTTACTGTTGGTGTTCTTCTGGTGAAAACTACTGAAGGATATTTAAAAAGCTATAATGCTACAATTTGATGGTAGCATCTGGTTTTTATGGAGTCAATACTCAGTCTGTGCTAGAAATACCAATATGTTCTGTGCTTGTCAACACTTATCTTATGCAATGCCAGTAGAACTTTACCTGTAGACGTATAATTGTTGTAGTATTACTGAGATCCCTATAAACTCAGTGTTTTTAGGGCTGTTTGCATTGATAGCCACTACCAAAATGGACATTTATCCTATTTAACATTCATCCTCTTTAACATTCTGTGGTTTCAGAGGAAATGAATCTTTGTTCCCTGACAGAAAGAGGTGTTGAGTGCAGGAGTCTGTTCAGTTTCAAACACTTTGATATTGCATGAAGAGGGGATGTGTGCTGTTCCTTAGGGATTGAAATGCCTATATCAGTCCTTTTCACAACTTGACACAGGGTGCCTGGACCTAAAAAAGCCATCATTTCCAAAGTAAAATCTATCTGCTGAAAAGAAGAGTAAGCAAACCTTCAACCAGTATTCCTAGGTGAAACAACAATGTGGCAGACATTGGTTTCTGGTGACCTGAATTTGTACAGCTTGCATTTGAGTGTATGCTTTGATGCTCTTGGCAGAGGGAAAATTATTTGTGTCTCTCTGTATTTTGCCTTTACCTTCCTTTGAATTTCCTTTTCATTTCAGGTTTATTTTTATAACTTTGTTCTTAAGCACCATAAATATTTCCAGTCCCAACAGGTTAAATTGAATGAAGCAACAGCATTGAATTGTTGTTGAACTGTTGAAACTATCATCTGGTTTTCCTTTATTTCTCTCCATTTATTGAACACCTACTGTTCCATTTCTTAATGCTTCTTTTTCTGTTCCTTATTACTTATGCCACTGCTTTCCTCACTCTTTGTGCTTATGTGACAGACAGAAACAAATAAAGGCTGCTTTTGACATGAAAAGGCCAAAGCTTCTTTCTTCTGCTTTTGTTTACCTCCTTGCCAGCATGAAAACTAAGTGGTCACAGTGTGATTGCCATTATAGTTGGATGTCCATTCTGCTTTTACAGGACACATTTCATACATTAGGCTCTCCAGAATTCACAGAAACTGATGTCCTTCAAGTCTGGTAGAGTTCTGAATTCACTTCCTGAGCTAATGATGGCAACTGAGAACTTCTTTATGTGAGACAACAAGGAATTAATCACAGTCAAATATTCATTAGAAAAAGAGGAAGTGCAGAATCAGAGTTATTTGTTCAGTGTCTCTAAAAACTGCATTTAAAGAAAGGGTAAAATAGAACTTTAAGGAAAAATATATTTTTAGTGGCTGACAAAGATTGCCATTTATTTTGTTTTCAGGGTGGAGCAGAACATAATATTCCAGTGGTTATTTCTAAGATTTCCAAAGAACAAAGAGGTGGGTATCGGGTATCAGCTTATTACACTGTACTTTAATGTTCCCTTTAGAAAAAGATGTATTAAATCTTGAGATTCTTCAGTCAATGTTAAACAAATACTGTTGTTGAACCTTTTCTCTCTCATATCTTTATGATCTCTCTCTTCCTCAGAAACTTTTTCTGAACAAGTACTGAATTGATATTTGGAATAGTTTTTAAAGTCTTCAAATTACTATTTTTTTTAAAGAAAATAGAAATAGGAAAGTAACAGGAAAATATTAGAAAGTAAATAGATTATTAGAAAATAAATAGAAAATATAGAAAAGAAATAGGAAAGTATTGACAGAATGAAAATGCTTAATAAATTTAACAAAAGGCAATGATTTAGTGGCTTTGACTTCCCAGTAGTTATTGTCTGGAAGCTGTAGTAAATTAAATGTTTGTATCTTAAATCATAGTAACACAGCAGGAGGATACATGACTTTTTAACCTGGTTACTCAGGTAGTATTTAGAGTATTTTGAGTACTGCATAAAGTTTTGGCCATACTTACTTTTAATCGTAATGGGGCTAGTGCTGAATTCTGTATTGATTTAACTGGCAACATTTTTAAGTTATTGGTATGATACATGGAGAATAGTTAAACAGCTCAAGATGTGCGTAAGTATGAAGGAGGAAGGTTGTGAACCAGTTCCAAGATGGTGTACTTAATATCTTTGTTATGTTTATATGTATTTGTGTAAGGCCAGAAATGCAAACTTGGAACCATTTCCCTTCATCTGTATTGCAATAACTCCAGAACTCAGCTTCTCCTCAACTAAAATATGCCAGTAGGAAAAAAAGTGTCTCTTACTTACCCACTCAGATAGAGATGTATGGAGGAATCAGCATATTGAGAGCCAAAAGCCAACCCTGAAAGGTATATGTGAAAGTTGGAGTTAGGGAGAATAAGGAGTAGCATGAATGAGCCCCTAAGGAAGGCAATAAGGTTAACCTTAAGAATTTATACTTATGATTACAGTCTTTTCAATATACATGTAACTAATACATAAAGATGTGGCATATATTATATGCAGTAGCTATTAAAATGCTATTAAGCACTGCAGGAAAAATAAGAAAGATATACTTCAGTTTAATTGAGCACACTGAAGTGCAGTTTTATTTCTGTCATTAGTTTTTTTGCTGCAGTAACTGTTGCATTGTTTCTAGCCCCAATACTACTTTCAATAAAAACACTGCTGATTTTTGCAGAGCTAGTTTTGAGGTGCATCTCTTTTGTAGGAGATTGCTGTCTTGAGATGTAGAAAGTGTCATGCTGTGTTCCTGGACTAGAGAACTTTGATAGAGAAAATGCCTCAAAATAAATCAGAATGTCTGTCCTGCAATAATTTAACCATCCATTGTTAAATATAACTAATAGGACCATTCCATCAAACAAGGACTTAAGTATCATAATTTACATCAATATTGATTCCATTTTTGCAGCTCATGTAAATAAGTAAAGTTTTGGGACCAAATCCGATACTAGTTTTTTCCCAACGGTATCTTCTATGTTGATATGGAGTACTGTAGGTAATAATTACATGTAATATCTTAATATCCCTTAGTTCTCATGTTCATGTTCTGAAAGGTTATTTATCCCTTTACAGACAAATAATCTTTGTTATATTTCTGGTATGCTTATAAGGTGTATTTGAATGAGATAGCTCTGAAATGGAACACAGTGTTTAAAACGGAAGTGTAGAACCAGATTTTATAAAAGTTTTGTGATGCAGCTTTGTTTTTAAAATCACAGTTTGGCTGGTGATTTTTTTACAATATATTGATTTTCTAGCTCTTCAGCATATGTAGGGTTATCCAGAATTAATAGTCCCTGTTATTTATCAGAGTTTATCAAAGATGCAAGATCTAAAGGGTCCTTTATCTTTGGTAAAAACCTAAAAATTAAATTTGTTATTCATAAGTGTCTCTGGACATGTTGCTTTCTCTTTGTAAGAAATTATCTCTCACAGGCAAATAAGACCCAGTCCTGCAGTCATCTTCTATTCAGAAAAATATGCCCCACCTTACCAGAATGGCCTGAAAGGTGCTAGTGACTGATGGATGAAGTTTCATAGTCGTGTGATTGGGCTGAATAGCGTCTTTTATTGTAACACTGATACATAAGTATTTTGGGTTTAAACAAGAAAATAAAGTAATTTATTTGGAAATTTTATGTTGGGGTTTTTATTATGTTTTTGTTTGAAATTTTAAAGATTATGCAAAAACATTAAATTCAATAAAAATTCTTGTACACAAAATGTTTGATGTTATGTACAAAGTCAGTGAAAAATATGCTTTCTGTTTTCAGCGGAACTTTCAGGTTTGCTCTTTATAGGAGATGCAATTCTACAGGTGAGTAAAACTGCAAATTATTTTGGCTTTATTTTTCTAGAAAAGTGAAATGAAATCTATGCTTATGAAATGTAGAGTAAGTCTTCTCTTTATCTTTTTAATAACAGATTAATGGAATTAATGTGAGAAAATGCAGGCATGAAGAAGTGGTGAGCTTTTCTGTTTTTTAGTCTACTTTTTTGTCTTTTGTAGTTGCTGAAATGACAGTGTATGCTGATAGCAGTGCAGTGGCATCAGCTGTTTTATTGTTATTCCTAAACAAATATGCCTGTACCTTCTAACATGACAAGCAACAAAGTGCAATCTTCTCTTTCTAAATCTGTGTAATTGCTCTTCTCAGATAGGCTTTTCTATATTAAAGGTGATTGTTTTATTATGAAGATTTGAGCTGTACAAATTCCAGCATTACTTCTTCCAGCTAGTAGCTGTCAAATTTCAGCAGTGCTACACCTTTCTGGCTGTGTGGGGTCATTTTAATTTCAACAGCTGTAATTTGCACTATGTTGGAGATTTGTTGTTTGGTTACTTTTAATCCTATTTAAAAATGAGAGAAAACTATTCATCTGCTACTCATCCTCTGGCTGTTCCTTGTGAGGGTGCTCTTCTCCTTTAGTTAAGATGCTATAATTTTGGGTATGAAGTAAAATTTTATTAAGTCAATTTCTTCTTTAGAAGAAATGTTTGAGAGGTCTGTAGTAGGCCGGTTCCACTGGTCAATCAGCTTTGCTAAATGTATCATGTACTTTAGCCATATATTTTTTTGACTCTTAAATATTTTCAGAAGCAGAAAACCCTTTATTTCAGAAAACAATGTCAGAAATTCAAAGATTACCAAAGAAAGTACTTTTGAATCCCGTTTAGATCCATAGAATTTGTACCTGTGTTTTTAAAATAACTTAGTACTGACATACTTGTAGGCTTCTCTGTCTGACTCATTTCCAATCCTTGCATTTCATCCAGCATTCTGCTCTGTTTTCCAATTCAAGGACACTCCTTGCATTTCATCCAGCATTCTGCTCTGTGACAGATCACAGAACATGTGCTGTTCAGGTATAGAAAGCAGGAGTTAATATAGATAAAGTTGTGATAAAGTTGAGTGCAGTCTGAAAGATTAGATCACTGCACTATTCTTCTGTTTTTGCACACTTGTTTCCATGTGGAAATCTACTGAAAATCCTGTTTCATTCTTCAGAGCCCTCATCATACCCCCTTCTGTATACACTGGCTAGTAGTTGTATTTATATTGCCTTTAGGTTTTGTCTGTGCTACAATGATTAGGTTGTAAATATTTTATAAGTTTACCACAGTTGACTTGTTTAATATGCATTAATATGGCAAATCTCTCAGTGGGATTTAAATGTTAGAGTTTAATTGTTGGAATTAGAAAACATGAGAAAGATATTACTAAAAAAGTAGCCTTGTACACTTGAATGTAGATTGAAAATTAGGACATCAGTATTTTGTTTTCTGAGACATTCTCTAAACCCTCAAAATGATACATAAATCTGCTGGGTGTTTATCATAAGGTTGAAACCCATTCACAGGAAGCAAAGAGGTTTTGGAAAAGCTGAAAGGGGAGATTGACATAGAGTAGCAAGTGTTATTGTGTTAAATTTTGATTTATACCTTATTTATCTAACATAATCTGTTTCTTAAACTCCTTGTAGATAATTCTCTATGAATTAAAAAATAGTATCTTACCAGTTTTGAGTGTACATTTATGTATTTGCAAATGGTTTAGGAATTTAAAAAGCAAAGAATTTTTAATTAAATCCTTATTTTAATTAGAATATTTTAAATATTTAATAGCAAATATTGACTAATATTTAAATAGGATGAAATGTCCAGATGACATTTTATAAAATAAAATATACATAAGAGTTATAGATATATAATGTAAATAAAAAATTCAAAGTAAATGAACTCTGATAATCTATTTTTTTTCAGAAACATTCACTGTTGTATGCTACGTGTTTATGGAGTAAATTTCTTTTAAAGCTGCAATAATGGTAATATATGTGGTTCTGCATTGTGTGGTAACCTGTGAGTTTAGGCTTAGCCCTCAGTAAAAGTACATGCACTGGTGTGCCAGCAGGAGTGGCAGGGAGGGTTTTGTCTGCAGCACGTCCTTTGCAGCTTGAGTTGATCTTGGACTTCTGTCCTGTGGGGTCTTTATCAAATACAGGATCTGTAGCTCTAATCTCAAGGTAATATAGAGTAAACAGAAGTGTGTGGAGCCTACTGGCTTGCAGCAGGGAGTTGAACAGGAGCTGAAACTTAATTTTCAATCCTTACAGCATCTAGGCTCTTTTGCAATGGCTCTGCAGGACACCTGAACTCGTAGTTTTGTTTCCTTCTGATTTTTTCTGTACCTAATTAAGGCTTAGCAGGTACAATGTTATGTAGTGTTTGGGTTGTCTTAATGTCTTAGAAAATATTCATTGTAAATCAGTGGGTAATTTTTTCAGTGGGTAATGCTGAAGATACCTGTTAAAAATTCAGATTTGTATCTACAGTGTGACTGTGATGATCATTCATTCTTTTCCCACATGCGAAATGTGTTGCTGCTTCTGGAAACTTTTTAAGCATATGTCATATCTTCATAGCTCTGCAGTGAAAAAATTCACTGCAGCCTATTGTAGGAAACTGATGAGTAGTCAACCCTGGTATTTCATCTTGCTTTACTGATAACCACACTATGTATATAAAGTGATTTGAGTTTCAAAATTAAGTAGTTCAATCAAACTCATGGCATCTTCCATAGCAGGGAGACTCTTTCCCCGATGTACAGTGATCTCAGTTAACATTGTGGGCACTCTGTTGTCTGTATTGTCTTTCATTATTTTTGATATAGATAGATACATACATACATAGAAAGAAAGATAGATGGATTAATAGACTCTGATAAACCTAGATAGGTAGGTTTAGTCAGTTCTTAGAGTACCTTACTGGAAGCCTTTACATAGTTCCTTTCTGATTATTTTATTTTGCTTTAGCTGAATCACTTCATCTAGAGCTTAGTTTTCTTCTTGTAGAAGGTGAAAATCTTGTTCACACCATGAAAGCACATGATGACTTTCTATCAAAGACTGACTGTCAGCTTGTTGTTTCTCTTGGATTGTAAAGAGCCCCAGCTGAGTACAGCATAACATTGCTTCAGTTGTAGTGCTGAGATGTGGTAAAGTAAAGACATAGTCTCTCTGGTGAAGTGGTCAGTACAGGAGGAGGCTGCAGAAAAAAAATAAACTAGCAATTTGTCATAAAAAATATCTCTCAGCATCTCTCAAACTGGCAGTTTTAGTCCAAAAATGCAATATGAACTTGTGTATAGAAGAAGAGTCCATTGTATCTGTTTAAATACATGACTTGATGCTCTGTTTACTCAGGTTGTTTTAATTATTCCTTTTTCAGTAGACTCTCCTTTACATTTTTCAACAAGAATTTTTAAAATCTGAAATTAGGATTATTCACAGACAGACGTATGAGTTTTGGCTTCTGTCTAATTAATAAGGTCTAAAAATGTATAGCTTGTCAGTGCACACACCTAGTGGATGTGGTTATCCACTGTAAGAGATATGATTATTCTTAAGGATGTAAATGAATGTATTTGTGTATTTCTGCATTCTAACTTTTACCTCCATTTATTGTCCAAACATAAAGGTAGCTATATAAGCACCAACATAATATGGTTTATGGATGTTTTTGGTGGTTCTGGGTCTAGGCACTATGTCACTAAAAATGGATAAGATTTTGGGAGAGAGTGAGAGGCCCTTGAGCCACTTGTGAGTGGCTAGGAGTAGGAGAGTATGCCAGTTCAGTTGGATACTACCAAAAACCTTGTGTTGGATCTACTATTCAGGGTTGTAGTGCACCGAATCATCTAAAGCCAAGGTAGAATTGTAGTTGAATGAAGGCTGATATGTTTAAGATTTTCTCTCTTCTTAATGTTGTGAATGAAACTTCTCAGATGGTATCAATAACTGTGGTTATATATCTCTTTGGATCTTAGCATATGGGTTTTTTCTTAGGGACTAGAAGGAATTAAATTACTATGGATACGAATTTCTTATTTCTTCTATTTGGGGAACATCCAGGGAATGTTTCAAATGAAAAATGACAGCTCGCATGTGTCAGTTAATGTGGCATTTGGGCATTCCTTGAAAAGTAACAGGAAAAGCTCATTTAGTCACAGGTAGCTTTGGTGGACTTTTTGTAAAGGAAACTACAATATGTAGCACTGTGGTTCAATTCAGCCACTGCATGCATTTTGCACAAGACACCATTTTTTCTAGAAGAATGACCTGATGTGAGATGTCCTCGTGCACTGCATTGAATCTTTAGCTTCCCCCTTTTCTCAGCATTCACAGCAGGACTGTAATTGTGCTGACTGTCCATGAGTCATTTATGTACTGTGAAAGTGGCAGTGCAGGGGTTGTTGCTGTTTAACTGCAATCATCTGCAGCTAATGAAACTTTTACTCTGGCTTTTCTCTTTAAAACTATGGTTTCATTAAAACTGATTTTTAAAACTCATTATTAATAGTTTTGGCTATGTTGCTCGTAAATGTTTTTAAGCAGAAGAATGAGCATATTGTATTTTTAAGGCAGGAAACCAAATTATCTGAATACTTACTCCAACTTGACCTTGCAGATGTGTCTTTTGGTAAATTATGCTTTTGTCTTACCTTTGTTTCCTTAACTATGAAACAGAGACCTAGACTATTATCGGGTTTAGCTCTCTGAATTTTATTAAGTACTTCTCAATCTGTTATAGAAAAGTACCTCTGCATTAATACTTTGCAGTTTCATGAAGTGATAACAGCAACCCACAAACACAGACTACAACTTTCTCACATTGCAGAGAACCTGTACTTTATAACTCATGGCACAGCCATTTAATCCTTTTCCCTCTAGACAGAGTGGCGACTCTAAATGTGGAAGCTGCACAGTCGGTGCTTCTAAGACTATAATCAATCTGCAGTCTTTAACTTCTGAATTTAAAAGTGAAATGAAAACTTTCTGGAAATCTAATACTTACTCTTTCCATACAGCTGCTGTTTTGTATCTAAGACTTGAGTAATAATAAAAATAATAATAACAATAGGAGTAAACTGATGTCGCCTTAGCTATCCCAGCATAATTAGTGAAAATACCTGTTATTGAATATTCTAATGCTCATTGAATTTGAGCATAATCTGTCAAATATTTCAGCACTCATTTGAAATAAGTGGCTATCAAGTGGAAAATATCCTAGCAGCTGTAAATAGCCTGTTTCAGCTGTTTTCAGCTCTGTGGTGGAAATTCCTGGAATGTAATTCCAGGATGTATCCTGGAGCAGCATTCTTAATGTGTGTTCATCTGTTTTTCTCATCTGGCTTTAGCTATGTTTTATTAGTGTTTAAATAATTTTTTTTAATTATTACCATTATTATTACCATTTTTTTAATTATTACCAATTTTACTCTGTAAAAGCTTGAATTTATTCAAGTACAAATTGTACCAATTTAAAGCTCTGTAAAATTGTACCAAAGCTCTGTAAAAGCTTGAATTTATTCAAGTACTATGATGTTAGACTTTTAAAATATATTAATATGTTGCTAGTCTTCCTAATTTATATTTTAATTTCTTTTTCTCAAGATACCTGTAGATCTATTAGTCATTTTATTAAGATTTCATCTTTTGAAACTACTCATCATTACTGCTGAGTTTCATAGGAGGGAGAAGAACATTCCGTCATGACTAATACCAAGCCTACATGATTAATATTGTTATTTCCTTATTACATAGCTACGGTCCTCAAAGCAAAAATCCATTAGGGTTTAGTGGGATAGAGTGAAAGATTGAATCACCAGTTACGGCACAACATCCTTCAAATAACTGTCCTTGGTTCCTCCTTTGTCATACAAGTCTATTAATTCTGAAAGCCTGAGTTGCAAAGAAAAGAAACAGTTGAGGAGAGGATTTAAAGTGTGTACCATCAAATATTCTTTGTTTGTGACCTTGTTTACATTGATATTTTTACTGTAAAGGCTCAGGTTTCTCTGCTTCCTTAGGAAACAAATAGAAATATTTTCATATTTATTTGTACATGAGTGCACTTTACCCTCCAAAAGACTTTTTGAAATATTTCATTCTGCTCAGCACCTTCGGTTGTGGAGTTAAACCTCAATAACACTTTAGTTCAGGGGACCCAGTGTTTTTATTTCTGGGCATAGCCTCCAAAAAGCAGTAAAACAGACACAAAGTACTCCAACAATGTAGGAAAAATTACAACTCCTATGGGCATGAAATTTATCTTCTCTGGTCACTATAAAGAAGATTTCATTTACTCATAAGGACTAGAAAATACTTCCAACTGCCATCAGTTATGCTTTCTTTAAACAGGTAACAACCATGTATATATACTGAAAGCAAATGTTCACCTCCAAAAGGCAACTTCTGTATTTCTAATGGCTTGATTTGAACCTGACAGAGCAGTGGGAGGACTAGAGCAGGTGTACTCATTTAATTAGCCAGGAGGAGTCACAAGTAGGAGGCATGCTCAAAGAAGTGCAGATGTGCACACACATAGTCTTTGGACAATTTTCCAGCAGTTAAAATACCTGATTTAACTCTTCAGAAATGTCATTGTTCTGACTCTAGTAAAATCAAATGGGTGCCAGGAAAAAGAGTTTTAATCCAGGGGTTATCTAACACCTGTACATATTTTTAGGTCTTTTTTTTTTCTCTACATTGGGTCTTTGTCTTTTGACAGTTTGTTCGGTGGAGGAGGAAGAGGAAAGGAGAATGGACTCTATATAATTTTTCAGTAGTATCCAGTGTTGGCCTGTTCCAGCCAGATACATGGAGGTTTCCAGATGGCCCACCCCATACTTCTCAACCACTAGTATGGTACAGTATGGTACTGGTGTTTTGGTATCTGTTTGTCAGCACTGGGCCTATTTCTGGATGTTTTTTTTTTTTCTTTTGCCCTGACAGTACTGATGTTGTTACACAAGTTCAGTTTGGTACTACCTGTTTCTTCTTGGCTGTTTTGAAAGACTGTGGCCAGTAAAACAGCTTGCAGTAGTAAGTTTCACAGGTCACATGAAGAACTTCTATGCAGGTTTGGTTACTGAGGGAAGAAGCTCTTCAGTAAAAAATTACAACATTACACATTCCCTAGATTTTTGGGCAGACACCTGTAAGAGTTACCTCCCTGTGCTGTTCATACTTTTCTGAGCAAAATGGGGAATAATCACTCCTCAGGCTGAATTGGCATTACCAGGATAATGACATATATCTGTAAATGTGATCTAGGAAATGTTCATAGCTCTATTCCACTTCACTTGCCCTTGTCAAACCAGCAGTGATTGAGAGCATTTAAAAGATTGTAATTGTGCTGACATGTTAAAAGGACTGTTGAGGGGATTTTTCTACATCAAAAAACTCCCACATTTAAGCATTGGTTTGCAGTAGGAAGTAATGAGGATATTTCTAGATTTTCTGAAATGCCTTCCGTTTCTTATACTATTCTGAGTATGAAGTACCTATGTAGTAAGTGGATAGACAGACGTTTCACAAAATCTCCACCATTTTTCAGATGTCTTGAGGTTTTTTTGACATTGTTTTTTCAGTCATGTTTGCACAAGAAATCAAATACAAAACACATTCAAAATCCCCTGTGCACTTCAGGTCATGTGTGATTTCTGAATCAGTGATTGCAGAGAAGTGTTGGTGAGAGCTCAAGTTTACCATAATGAATGCTAACAGAAAATATTTTGTTTAAATATCCATCACCATGAAAGATTGCAAGTTTTCACAGACTGTATAAAGCATCTTTCCATCAATCAATAAGTGATGTTTTAGGGTAAAGTGAATCACCTGCACGACAATGGCAACAACAAATCTGTGAGACAAAGGTTTTGGTTGTTTTTTGTGGGTTTTTTCCTTTTTTTTTTTTCCAAAACACTGGAAGGCTTGGAAATGGAAAGCTTTAAGATATTTAAAATTTTAATTTTTTACAACTGCAGCTTTTAGTATTCCAGGATCTTTATATCTCAACAGGAAAGTGCTATCTAAATGGGGACATGCTTTGTTGAATCAAAGCATCTGTATATTATGTTCATTAGATGTCATGGAGCTGTGTAGCATCAGCATTGTTTTTCGTATTTTCTGAATTTTTATAGAAAATGAGAGCACCGAGAAAATTATAAAACTAGAATTATTAAGGTTTGAGAGGCTTGGACTTTCTAAAAGTGAGGCCTGTAGTTTGTGCATTCATTTGTAATATTCTGGCATAATAACCTAGCAGCAATGTAATAGAATTATACAAATCATTCTGGTTTTCTTTTATTGTTGATGTTGCAAATTTTGTTTCAGAAAACACATTCATTCTATATAATAGTCTATAAATTATGGTTTTTATAAGATCTCATAGTTCCGTATGGTAATTAACTGCTGGCAAGAATGGATTTCTGTGGTGTTATTGCTTAATTAAGAAAATAAGAAAAGGTGAAATAAGGTTGCAATTGGATAAGTAGCCTAATCAGTTTTGATTAATATATCAGATTTATGCTTAATTTTGAAAGTTACAAAGACCTCATGCTATAAACTGATTAAAACTGTAATTCAGCACATTTTGTCATTGTGCTGAAATACAAATATTTTTTACTTCTTTGGAATTATATGGTAATCTTTTTTTTGTTTCTAAAATATCTATAAATGTTCTCCAGTTAATTAAAATACAGCATGAATACCTCCAAGTCCAGTTTTGCCTTTAAAATTTTGACACTGATGACAATTATTTAAAAAATGTTAAGGAAATATGATTTTGGAAATTTTCAAATTATAATTATATTGGATCCCAGTTCAGCAGAATATGTATGTATTTGCCAAAAATTACGAATTTACACATTTTATTAAGTTGGGGACTTTCTTTATTACAAATATCTTTTGAATAAAAAAATAATTTTCTCAACTTCAGCCAGATGCAGTGCAATTAATCTAAACCAGAAAAACTGCCACTGCATTAAATGGCAGGAAAGTATGTTACAGAATCACAGAATTCTTATGTGTTTTCTCAGCTGAGAACTTTTCCCACTGGGGACTTTCCCTGAAGTACTGAAATACCTTTCTCAGAGATCAGATCCTGGGCAACCAAGAAGCTTAGAAGAATTAACTGCTTATATTGATCTAAAACATTACTTCAAATACAAATTTGTCCAGGAATTATTATTTTTTGTCATATTGAAGTTGATAACATTTAAAACTGAACAAATAGGAATAGGTTTGTAGAGTAATATTTATTCAAATATAGAATTAGAATTTGATTTCAAACTCGTTAGGACCACTTTTAATTCATTTTTCATGAGCATTTATATTCTGGTGCTTGTTTAGTGTGGCTATTCATGAAAACTAAATGTTAAGGTCATATTTGCCAACAGCAAATTTTATATTGAATATGTAAATGTGAAATTTGCTACTAGCTGTGTGTTTGACCCCAGCCTTGCAATGGGATTAGTGTGAGCAAACTCTTGGTCTGGGGATGATCTTTTTTTTTTTTTTTTTATTTTTCCCCCAGACCTGGAGCTCTGCATTGTCAGGCAAAATTTTCAAGCTATGCAGCACTTGTATTGTTTTCAGCAATTATAGACATATGTATTATAGACATATGTATGTCCATAAAATGGCTTGAAATTTAAGACCATATTTCAAAATACTGTGTCAACTGGATGTTTTTCACTCTTTGACCACTAGGAACAGGAACAATAGCTGGCATGTTGTACAGGCTGGTAATGTGTATGCCTTTTGAATACTACTAATGAGGCCTTCAAAAATTGTAAGCATAAAAAATTACATTGTTTAGTAGTTATCTTAGAAATTTCATATAGAATTCAAACAGGAGTGCACTTTTTTCCTGGTAAATTTGAATTGTGAGAACAATCTGACTAAAAAGAGCAGGAGATTCTTATATATTTAATAGATTACTAAACAGCTTCATTGTTTTGTTAATAGTCATGGTTAGAAAGCTGAAAGCAATCAAGGTAATTACTATAATAAGAAAAAATGTCCATTATGAAAAGTAAGAAGTCCAAAATATTTAAATAATTTGATAAGAATTATTTCTTCCTGTTGAGGAATACACATTACATGAAAAACTTTAATTCCAAGTTATTATCTAGTTTCTGTCACAGTTTACTGGAAAAAAAAAATTTACTTTGTTTTGATTTTTACCCTTACTTAAAAAAATGTTGAAAAAGCAAAACTTCTGTATGAAGATTTCTTTTTTAAGTATAATGTGTTCCAGCAAAAGAAAAATACATATCCCTATCCATTCATAACAGGGTTTCTAGTGATCACTGTTTGAATTGTAACTGGGTAAGTCTAGGAATCATGCAGATAAATGGAAAATTGGGCTTTTTCCTGTAAATATAGATTGTTTTTGTTTATGTAACATGGGTAATGTCTTTAGACTTTTTTTGTATTTTATGTGACTTTTTTATAGGGAGTGGAGTGTCATAAGTACTAGGTCATTCTTCTAAGGTTTTCCTGGATAATTGTTAAGATGTGGCTTTTGGTTTTGAGAGATGATATACAATGTTTATCTTCAATTCAGTTAATGATTATGTGCTGGATTATGTTGTTTTCTCTTACACTGTTGGATAGATCATGTGTTATACACTCTATTTTTTTTCTAGAGTAGTCATAGCATTATCATTACAGCATTGTATGCTGTAACACTTGCAGGCCACAAGCAAAATCTTAATATTCTACACAAGAGATACTGCTATTTTTACCTGTTGTGCTGGTTTTCAAATTTCATTAATTAGTAATTAAATTACTGAAGCTCTGGTGTGTATACAGCACAAAGTTTATTTGTTTGGGGCAGCTTTTATCACCAGAAAGTGTTATTCCCATATAGTCTGTCATTTATTTGCAGGTTGATGGATGGTAATCAGAAGGTGGCTTAAATAGATGAATAGATGTTGGGGAAATCTGTGATGGGATATTTAGTTGGTGCATATTATACCTACCTTAATTTTTTTTATTATTATTTTTTTTTGTCCAAGAGAAGAGAATGTGTTTTATTAAATTTCTCTGTTTTGAAGATTATTTTATTGATCTCTTACTATCTGAAACCCTTATTAGAGAATAGGACCACCAAAGGTTGGTTCGTAACCTACAGATAATTAGTAAATTACAGTTCTGGCTCATGCTCAACATTTTATATTATATTGGACTAAAATCCACTAAAATACCATTTATATGAGTAATAAAGATTGATTCCACAAGGGTTTTCTGGAGATATGATGAGCCTGAAGAACTTCTACATATTATCTAAGTATTAAAATATGGCCTAAGAGAGAGGCCTTACGAGAAAATCTTTGAATATTTATGTTATGAATCTTTGAAGGTAAATGTACAAAGCCTCTTGAGCCTACTTAAAATGTGTTACAGGTGCTACAGATGTTGACAGATTTTTCTGAATAGTCTCCAAAACTAATTGGAAGGGAAAAAAAACCCAAGCAACATTGTCAGCATATACTACCATCATGGTTGCTTTCCCGTTATTATGAAGTTCAAAAATCTTGTCTCTTAAATAACAAATCCTCTGTAGATTGATGGGAAAGCCTATTGTTCATCTGGCTGTACACACCACTGCACACATGGTGCTGTGGAAAGCTGTGCAGAAGTCAGTAGGTGCTGCTGCAACACTGGTGTAAAGGCTTCTTCCATTTTTGTAGGAGTCTTGTTTGTTTATATATATTTATCCCAAAGAAGCTTTGGTAGACATCTGTTTTTGACAATATCCATTAAATTGATGCCAAACAAAATCTGGCCCCTGTGTAAATTTCTGAGCTCTGCTGATAAGTTTACTGCCATATATAGAGTTGTAATGAAAGTGTGTTGTATGTGAAG